TCACCTGTTGTCCACACAGATATCCTTGTTGCGTGTCCGCTTTGGAAATCGGGCCTGAATTTCTGGCAGGTCCCTGACAATGTACTGAGGTAACAGTTGCTGAATGATCTTAAGCAAATGTTTACTTGCAGGTGATATTAACTGTTCTTTAATCTGCCCGTTCTGTTGGGTCACCCTTCTTTGCCTCTGCCATGGATAAAAATAAGGATCTTTTCCAGTTGGTTGACCAGGTAGCTGTCTTCCAAATTTCTTGACATACATGACTGAGGGCTTCCAGTGCTTCACCGGCTTGTTGAAACATTTTGATTGGCATTCCATCAATTCCCGGAGCCTTGTTTCGGGCTCATGCCTTCAGTGCAGCTTGGATTTCTTCCTTCAGCGTCCCTGGTTCTTGCTCATACACTACCTCCTGAAACGGTGGCATGCCATATAGTTCCCTTTGGTACAGCGACTCTGTATTCTTTTCATTTTTAAAAAGGTCTCCTGCATCATTGCTATTTCGCTAATAGAATCTTTCGATATTGCAACTCGAGGTTTGAGTTTTCCCGTGAGTCCTTTCGGTTTGGGGCGCTGCGTGTGCCCTTTCCTGTGGGTTTGCTCGCCGGTCATTGCAGATTTCAGGATCGTGCTTTCTCGTTGAGCGACCCCTTCAATTGCTCTGTGCGGCTCTTGGGCATCGTCTTTTCTTCCACTTGCCTGAACTACTCGAGGATGCAGAGCCAGTTCCAGACTCTTCCCACATCCACGCTGATCTTCTTTCTTTCCCGACTCTGTGTGTGCTCGCTTTCTTCATGAATCACGTCCTTGGTGTCATCTCCTGGCTCCTCTGTCATTGGTGTTCGGCACAGCAAACCTGTTCTTGCGATGCTCTGGAAATACGGCTGGGATAGGCTCAAGGTTGTTTTTTGGCCATTCCTGGAGTTTTTATTTTTTTCAGCTTCCACCTGAACTTACGTCTGAGCAACTGACAGTCTGTTCCAGTCAGCCCTGACCTGGTTTTAGATGCTGCTACGGAGTCTTTTCAATGTTCAATGCCTCTTCCCACAGATAGTCAATTTGATTTCTCCGTCTTCCACCTGGAGGAGTCCCCCAGTACAGTCCCTTTTTGTGCTGTTGAAAAAGGTTTATGTGCAAGGAAGTCACCATTGGTCTTGCAAAATTTTATCCTGGGAGCTCCAGCGTCAGGTCAACCAACAAGGACATATTTTCTAGCGACTGTTCCTCTTTGTTTACAGTTTCTGCATTCATTCCATTCACCAACACTTATCAGTGCATCTTGAATGCATGTGGGGTTGATTTCAGGTTGAAAATGTTGGTAAAATGTTTCCGCATCTTCATCACTAGCTATACTGGTTGGTCCATAAATTTGAGCAACAGTTGGATTGACTGGATTTCTTTGTCTGCAGACAGATTAAACTAAACTGTCACAGACCGGATTTTATCCACCAGCATCTCTGATTATTCGTTACACGTACAGATAGACTAAGTCTGGTGAGAGGAGGCAGCCCTTTTTGCTGATGAAAGCAGGGGCAGGTTGGGAGGCGGGGGGGAGAGGGGAAAGAATGTGACATGCTTAGGGAGACAGCAACAAAGGTGCCTTCAGAAGCAGAAGGAGCCTGTGGGGGGCGGGGAAGGGGGGCTGCGGTGGTGCCAACGAAGGGCCAGAAGGCAAAGCTGCCTGCTCTTTAAGGGCGAGGGGGGCAGTTGTGGTGAGACAGTGGGGCCACACCC